TTTTGGAGTTTTGTAGGTTTTAAACTATCAAACATACAAATGAATTATTGAGTAGGATATTTAAGTCCAGTAGTTCATAAAAGAGGTCTGAGCAGAACATAAGAATTTGAAAGTTGGCAGCAAGAGGTTTAATTTAAAGCAACTAGACTAGATGAGCTCATCAGGTAAAGTATTAAAATAGAAAATTGAAACTTCAATCCAAAACTGAAGTCTGCAGTGTTCACTACTCTGGAAATGGGAACAAATTGATGAAAGAATGGAGAAAGAGTGCCTGATGAGACCAGGGAAACCAGAAGACCCTGGTAGTCAGGAAACCAAGTGAAAAGAGGTCAAAGAGGAGGAAGTAATCAACTTTCTGTTCTGATAGGGTCAATTAGGAAGACTTCTAAGCCTTGGGTTTAAAGAGAAGTGACCTCTATGACCCAGTGGCAGCTATAAAGCAGTTTTAGTGTATATTGGGAATAAAACTTGAGTGCATGAGATCAAGAAAAAAATCCCCAAGTAGAAGAATTAACAGCAGCTACTCTAAAGCATTCTTTGTAAGGGTGCCTATTTGCTGTACTAATAGACAATGATGTGTATAGGATTTTCTGTAGTTTGGGCCAAGAATTGTTTTTTTGTGACATTCTCTTGTAAATTTTATATGTACCAGTTTAAGAATCCCTGCTCTAGCTATGTTAACCACTCTTCATTGTAGCAAATAAAAATGATATACAAATTAAAGTAAATTCTTATTTACTGGTGCTGGACTATAGTGGCCAGAATTTGCAGTCATCAGTGATTCTCAGCAGTCCAGTTTCAAAACAGGAACTTAGAGGCCAAGGACAAAAGTAAAAGTTCTTTTTTGTAATTACTGTTTCCCAGAAAGGATGTCTAATCAGCCAGATGAAGTTAAAAGATTTCAAAAATACTGACACCTTGAAATTTTCCTCTTAAAATATTATTTAACCTAGCATTCTTACTTTAATGAAAATAATTATAAAACAAAATTTGGGGCCCTCCCTGGTGACACAGCAGGCTAAAAGCACAGCACTAAGAAGCTAAAGCCACTTCAGCACCCACATGGTGACCCACATGGTGTGGCAGACCTCTCCTGACCCACCCGCTGCTCCCTTCAGCAGTATACTTGGTCTGCCTGTTCTACTCTCCACTCTGTCTCTGGTGAATCCTCTCACTGCCCCTGCACCTCTGGCCTGTACCCCAGCGCTGTATGCATAAATAAATAAATCTTTAAAAAAAAATTCATTTTGCATTAACAACTACCAACGCTATGCTAAGTATTATAAGTACCTGTTTGCAGGGTTATCATGGCAATAGTGAATAAAAATCAAATTGTATTGATTACCTGATTTGGAGAAAATAATTTAAATTTATTGTGCCAAAAGGAACCCATTTCAGGTTAGCATAATGTTTTTTAAGTTGTACATACTAATGAAACAGCAAAAATAGTTTTATTGTCTCTATACTATCCATACTATAAAATTAGGAGTGTCAGAATCTTTCAAAGTCCTTCCATTACAACTTAACCAGTCAAGTCTTTGTAGTACTAGATTGTTGCAGACCAAAGAAAATCTTGTCCTCTTTTCAAATTTTCCAAAGAAGTAAAGTTAAATTTTCAAAAGCAAATTATTCATTTACTCTCAGCAGTCCTCAGTTTATCTTGCGAATATATCCTGTACTACCATACATTAAATAGCTGAACTTTCAAAGACCATTTTCCCTCAATTCTTTTTATTCCTATCTAAATTGTAAATTATGTATACTAATTATAGCTTACCAAGAAAGCCCTAAATTGAATAGCTAGCATCACTGGTAAACAGTAAGACTGCATGTGAATTACTTTACTTTTGTATTACTATTTCTTGCTCCCTGTGTTGATGGGATTAAAGAGAAAGACACAGCTAATACATGTGCAACATTTAGTAATGGAAGTTAGTGCCCAGTTCTCACACTGAACACTCAGAAAGTCATGCCTACCTAGTTCACCTCTTTCCCCAAGCCTAGCTTAGTCCCTGATTTGGGCAGTGGAGGGAGGGTAGCTGTTAAACAACCTAAATAACTGTTGGCTTGCTGGAAATCAGGAGTTTCATAAGAATGACAATTTGAACTAAGCTTAAGAGAAGAAGACACTTGACAGAAAATGAAACCAGAGCAGGTAAAGGAGAACATCTGAACTGAGGGAAATGAGACTGAAGCAGTGTCCACTTCAATGTGGAAGGTCTTAATGCCACTTTAAATGTGGAAGGTCTTAAATGTCACTTTAAATTCTGTTTAGTGTCTTTCATGTGTCTGAGTCTCAGTGTGAGTACATATCCTGCCTATATTTCAAGGCTAGTGAGAGGACCCCGTGAGAGATAAAAATAGGAGACAGTGTTTTATAATTTCTACCGTACTCTAGTCTCAGACTTATAGCCTATCTTACTTATCCAGCTAGTCTCTAGTGTGTAGCATCTACCCACAGCAAACTGATTTCTTTACTGTCATTATCCACACACTTTATTTTTGATTTTCTGACTTTGCTTATATCTTTCCTCTTCAGGAGAGTTAGTTTTACCACTACTTTTTACATTTTCATAACATATACATCAAGTCCAAACTAAAGTACTATTAACTTTACCAGTTATTTAGTCTGAACATTTCCATGTGCTTACTATAAGAATTGAATTTAATACTATCTACTATACTTTATACAACTTTTTCTATTAGTACATATAACATTTTATTAGTTTTAGTGCCCAAGTAATGATTTGGTATTAGTATATATTGTGGTATGATCACTACAGTAAGTTTGCTAGCATCTGTTACCACATACAGTTACAATTCTTTTTCTTATGACGAGAACTTTTAAGATATAATTTCATAGCAACTTTCAAATATGCAACAGGGTCATTAACTGTAATTACCGGGATGTACTATACATCCCCCTGGCATTTATTTTATGCCTGGAAGTTTATCCCATTTAGCATTATTATAGTATTTTTTTCTATTTTAATTCTATACTCATAGCGAGATAATCAGCTTCCTAAGGGCAGACATCATGTATATATTGATTTGTATCTCCAGTGTTGCCTAACAGAAGCTCTTTATTAATGGGAGGTTTACTGAGCCTAAGCACATGCTTAATTAATTGCATCTTAGGTTTTCTCCAAAAGAGGCGCACTATAAGTTGTTGGAAATTTGAAGTAAGTAATAGCCTTCAAGTTAAGTTGTTGGCATACAAGCTATAATAAACATTTTTTAATACCATATAACAGATGCTATATTCAGGTATACACACAAGCCCAAGTCTGATAGTAATCCAGCCTTTGTGGGCCTTTAATCCAGTTGTCCAGGATTTTTAAAAAGTCAAGCTAATCTGGAAAAGCCAGTGTTTTGCATGGGCTTTTGTTGTTTTCAGTGAATAAAAGGAGAGGAAGAAAAAGCTGATATTGCGGCTGTTACATAGCTGTCAATACTAGAAATTTCCAAACATACTGCCAGTGTGAAGTAGGCTATTGATGACATTTGCAAGAGCAGCTAACCATATGAACTACAGACATGAAATAGCAGCTGGCCTTTGTGGGCTCCCTACCATTGAAAAGCATGCACATATCAGTTGCTTTCTTTTTTTCTCCCTTTTGTATGTTGAGAATGAATGTTAAGTTTAGGCTTAAACTGAAAATGTATGTTGAGAATGAATGTTAAGTTTAGGCTTACGCTGAAAAGAAACTTTTTTGTCCCTGGAGTGAATTGAATGGTAAAGAAGTTAAGTGTGGATACGTATTTTGAAAAAAAAAATTCTGTAAATGAGTAAAATATAATCATAGCTTAGTTCTGTCCTATGCTTAAGAGTTACAAGTTTCCTAAAAAGATATTGCTGTGTTTCCATTGTAGCCCTTTCCATCAAATAGAACTGGGCCTATATTTTCAGATAGTGTTCCATATAAATCACCATATAAAAAATTTTAATGTCGTATATTAGAGGTTAATTTGATGAGAACAGAGAAATTAAATATGGTACAAATTCAGTAATTTGTGGGTAACTTTTTTAGGTGTCTGTGTGCTATTGGTCTGTAGTTGTATCTGTAAAGTATCAGATAAATGGATTGTATGCTGTATACATCTTTGCCAAAGTCAAATTACAGTTGTTTTTTTTTTTTTTGTTTTCAACATAATAAAACTGTATATTCTCTCAAACTGTAATGTGCATGAGAATTCATTGTGGGTCTTGTAATGCAGAATCTTATCAGTAGGTAGGGAATGGATTTGAAGGTTCAGCATTTGAAGAAGCTCCAGTTAACAATGCTATTGTCAGTGAGCATCATAAAGAGCAATCAAAAATATAAACTAAAAAAACTACCCTATTGAGAATTCTAACAGGATTTACTGTTATACTTTTTTAAAGTGAATATTTATCATTTTACATAATGTAGCATAAAATTTCCAGGTAGAACAGATGAGGAAACAGTTCAGTTCTCCTAAAGACAACCCTTGAATATTATTTTCACCTTTTTGGAATGAGTTCCAGAACTTTTCAACAGCATACCCCAGTGTGAAAGGTCAGGTTTGCCTAGCTAACCCTTATATCATGTGCTTTAACCACTTCATGTCTTAGTTTTCCTTTGGTTTTCATAAATTTGAATAAGTAATCAAAATTTCTTCCTTAATGAAAATAGATCAGTCTCTTGTTACTTTATATTTAATTTTTAATTTCCTTTAGCTTAGTTCTGTCCTATGCTTAAGAGTTACAAGTTTTCTAAAAAGATATGCTGTGTTTCCATTGTAGACCTTTTCTAAAATACAAAGCCATCAAACAGAACTGGGCCTATATTTTCAGATAGTGTTCCATAAATCTGTTGAACTACTTAGGTTGGTAGAAACCACTCATAAGGAAGTTGCCAGTCTCAGAGCTGTATCATGCAGAAACCCATTTCCCTTCAAAAATATGATATTGGTCATCACAAATGTCTACTTTTATTTGACTAAAGCAGTCTAAAATTGATACAAAATATTTCTTCTAGAATGTAAAACACAGAAAGTATGCAAGATGGAAGGCAACGTATATCCATAATTGTTTAAAGAATGGAGAGACTCCTCAAGCAGGTCCTGTTGGAATTGAAGAAGATAATGGTATGTATCTATGTACCCAAATAAAATGATTCAGTAGAATTGTAATTTGGTCAAGGCCCTCCCTGGTGGTGCAGTGGGTTAAAATGTTTTATAGCACTATGAAGCTATCTGCAGCCACTGTAACACAAGTTCAAGCTGCCTGGGAGGTGACCTGCATCGTGTGGTAGACCTTTCCTGACCCACCCTCTGCTTCCCTCAGCATTGTGTTTTGGTACACCTGCCTGTTCTGCTCCCCTCTCTGTCTCTGGTGACTCCTCTCACCCCCCCCCCAATAAATATTTTTTTTAAAGAACTGTAATTGTTTGTAGTTTATTATTCAAAATTTTAGGAAGAAACAGTATAATTTTATTTCCCTTATCAAATTCAAAATCCATGAAAATTAGGCGTAAAACCATAAATTTAGGATGGTGAGAGATGATAGCCTAGCACTTCTGCTGTCCATCCTATTTATATATATTTTTAAAAACAATTATTTGTTTTTGCATAGAAGAACTGGGGTACAGACCAGAGGTGCAGGGTTTGAGAGGATTCACCAGAGACAGCGTGAGGAGCAGAACAGGTGTATTTACTGTAATGTGCTGCTAGGAGGAGCACTGGGTGAGACAGGTTAGCTCTCATGTGGATTAGCTGCCTGGCCAGGTATCCTCAGATGACAATGTGAGACTTAACAGCTAGGCCACCATGGAGGCCCCAGTATCTGACCTATATTATAGCTTGGTTACTCCTACTGCTGATCAAACTTCATTGCTTCATGGAACTGGCGATCTATACAAATAATACTGTATTTAATTTATCTAAGGTTTCTTTTTTTGAGAAGGAGGTTAATGGCTGGTAACCTACTAATTCAAAATTTATAAAGTGTATGAAATGCAGAGTGGACTTAAAGGACTTAAAATGTACTATCTGAAGAGTTATCACAGAATTAGAGAGTATTTAAAAGGCATAATTATCAGTCACAATTAGAATGTTGTGAGAAAAGAAAAAAGTTAAACTTAATTTTGAGAGTGCTGGGTATCAGTCAACTATAATAAATAGAATTAATTGCATTTGAAAGTTTGTCAAGTCTTCATAAAAAAATATTTGTCAGTATTTGAAAATACCTGGCATAACATTGCATATATGTGTTATATGTCTTTTAATATATAATAGATGTAGAAGAAAATGAAGATGCCGGAGCAGCATCTCTGCCCACTCAGCCACCTCAGCCATCGGCTTCCACATTTGACCCAGGCAATATGGCCCCAAGCAGCTTTACTGGAATACAGATTCCTCCCGGCGCACACGCTCCAGCGAATACACCAGCAGAAGTGCCTCACAGTACAGGTAGGGGACTAACGGCTAATGGCTTGAATTCTTCTTTTGTAAGTAAGAACCGCATTTGTATCAGACCTGTGATTTTTATGGACTCATGTGGTAATCATAAAACATCATTTTAAATGTTTTTTGAACAGTTTTAATATTAGTTGTATTTTGGTTTTTTGAGTATAACAAAATTATTGTATTATTGATTACTACTACCCTTATGTTGTTTGTTATGCTTGCTTGTGTTGCTGCTGCTTTTTTCTTCTCTCTTTCTTTTACCTTCACTGGTGTTCAGGAATAGCACTGAGGTGAGAAGATTTATGAATGTATCGTCAGTCAGTGTCCATGTGAATCGGGATCCCACTGTGATAGTAAACTGTTTTTTTTTCCCTTGTTTCCTTGGAAACAAAACATGGATGTCATTGACTAAAGTAGGCTTTTTTTCCTTTATATATATTTTTATTCTTACATCATTTTGTTTATTTTTTCATATCAGTTGTAATCCCCGTGAGCTTCCCATCAGACTAAAGTAGGCTTTAAGGCAAGGAATCTCCGGAGCAGTGAAGTCACATACAAGTCAGAGGACAAGATTTTGATGCTTTTGTTTTTTAATACAAATGTGTGACCAAAAAAATGGTAATATTTACTGTATTTAAATACATCGATACTATATTTTTTTTTAAAAAGATTGGTTTATTTATGCATACAAGAGATAGGGTATAGGCCAGAGCTGTAGGAGATTGAGAGGCTTCACTAGAGATATACAGAATGGGAAGCAGAACAGGCAGATCGACTGAAATATACTGCTGAGGGGAGCAACATGTGAGACAGGAGAGATCTATTGAGCCATTGGGTCAACTCCCTGGCTAGGGGCTGAACACCTGCTTCAGTGTCTGCAGATAGCTTCATAGTTCTGAGACTTAACCCCTTGCACAACCAGGGAGGCACTGTATGATTATTCTCCTGGATCAGAAGATTTAACAGAACTAAAGTCCAGTCATATCGATGTCAGTGTATATTTTTTAGCTTTGGAGGTAGATATTCTGTCATATATCTGTATTATTCACAAATTATCACCCTTACTTCCAAATAAAAGGGCATTTAAATAATTTTTTTTTTTTTTGCCAAAAATTGTTCTTCAGTTTTTACATTCATCCAAGCATAAGGATAATCTGTAGTAGCACTATACGTATATTTCAAAACATTTGCTTAATAAAATGAAAGTTATCTTTGGAGCCATGATTTTCTACCTTAGCTGTTAATAACATCATTAATACTTTGACTTTCAGTTGTCTGTATCAGCCTATCCAGACCATTTAGGTTATTTTGCATGAGCTGAATATCATTTGTGTTTTCTGTTCTCACCATTGTAATAAACAACTAATTGTCTCTCCCCTCCTTTATTAAATTTTTTACTTTTTTTATTAAAGATTTATTTATCTATGCATACAGAACTGGGGTACAGGCTAGAGGTGCAGGGTGGTGAGAGGATTCACCAGAGACAGAGTGGGGAGCAGGACAGGCCAGCTGATGAAGTACACTGTTGAGGGGAGCAGCAGGCGGGTCGGGAGAGGTTTGCTGCGCCATCTTTGTCACCTCTGGGGCAGGGATCAAACTCATGCTGAGGTGGCTTTAGCTTCTCATTGCTTCTCATGTACTTTAACCCCACTGCGCCACCAGGGAAGGCACAAATTTTCAACTTTGTTATCTACAAGTATTGCTAATATTTCAAAATTGCTAATATTTCAGAAATATTAAATTTGGTCATTTTAGCACTGATCTCCTGCTCCATCATTCTGTGTAATAGCGAGTTACTGAACTTTTAAAGATCATTTTGTGTTTCAAGGAAGTATCACAATTTGGGGGTAGGTTACAACCTTATAAGAAAGTTGTGGGAAATGGGTATTGTTTCAGACAATGTATCTTAAGACAGAGTTCTGGGGCCCTCCCTGGTAGCACAACAGGCTAAACTACATGCAAGCAGCTGTCTCAGCTCGAGTAGAGGTGACGCACCATGTGCTGCAGTCCTCTCCTGTCTCCCATATACAAATATGTGTATGTTCCTATATACTTTAAATATAGACACAATGTATGTATATAGGATAGGGAAAATATACGTATAGTATGAGAGATAGGTACATTGAACCATGTGAAATTGTTATTTTT